AAAAAACAAAAAAACCTAACAAAACAAAACAATAAGAGCAACAAAGAAAGGCAGGAAAAAACCTTGGCTTTAGGGGGACATAGGCCTTAGGTGGGTAAGGGCTTAGATGGTTGCAGAGTTTAGGAGGAGGCAGGGTTTAGGTAGGGGGTGGGGCCTTGGTTCAGGACCCATGCCTCCATAAAAGACCCTGGATGGGGGTGGGAGGTAAGGCCTGGACTCAGCCCAGCTGAGGGGACCTCCAGAGTGCATTAGGCTTCCAAGTACAGAGGATCAGGCTTGGCACCCCAGGAGGCTCCCCCAGGCTGAGTGGATGGTAGAACACCAGGCAGTTTCCCACTCTTCCACACCCGAGGGACATACCCCCAGCCAGCACAGTTCTTTCTCCTCTTTCTTTCCTGTGCCTGCAGGGCCTCCATGAGCAATGCCTGTGCTTGGAGGGGACTCATGAGGACGGAGGGGGCTCCAGAAGACAGAGGGAGACTTGACTTCTTGACTTCCCCTCCCCTCCTGCCCCACTGTGGTACCTGGTCACCCATGGTTGTTAGGGATCCCCCACCAGTGTCCAGTGAGCATCCTTGGCATGAGGAGACGGGGACTCTCTTTCTTCCCCCTCCACCATCTTGATTCTGCCTCTCTGCATAAATGCGACCCTGAAACCTTACAGTCAATATCCACAGCCCTTCCCATTGTTCATTACCACTGTATTAAGGTTTCTAAAGCATATCTGTGTGCAAATATTTACATATAATCTATTCAATTATGCAATTCCAGATCGAACTTTTTTTTAAAAAAAAAGACCAGTTGTGCCAATGATTTTTACTAATACACACACATATATAATTTTGCACACATCAAAATGATCTTTAAATAATTTTCTATACAATTGACCCTTGAGCAACATGAGTTGAAACTGAGCAGGTTCACTTATACACAGATTTCAGTGAATTCACTTAATAAATACATGAAAAATTTGGGGAGATTGGTGACAATTTGAAAAAATTCACAGATGAACTGCATAGCCTAAAAAAATTGGAAGAAAGTGTATATCATGAGTGATTAAATTATATGTAGATACCAGTCTATTTTAATCATTTACTACCATGAAATACACACAAATATATTATAAAAAATTAAAACTTATTAAAATGTACGTAAACACAGATTGTATGTGGCGCCATTTGTAGTCGGGAGAAATGTAAACAAGCATAAAGATGCAGTATTAACCCATGATTGCATAAAGGTAACTGCTGTGCCATGGTAATGCTTTCCCAGCTGCCTCCTGCTGCTGTCTCAGCACAGATGCAGTGCACACCTGTGCAAGTGCTGTGACACGGGTCACCTCCACACGAGCACTTGGTCTCTCCACTGAAGTTGCATATTACAGTGGAAAGTGATCTCTTGCAGTTCTCATATATTTTCCATAATGTTCAGTGCAATAGTATTCATATGGTATTCATATCTATGGTATTCATAGAACCCATGAAGTGCCACTAATGATGCTGAAAGTGCACCCAGGAAATAAGTCATGATGTTCCAAGGAAAAACAGAATTACTTGGTATATACTATAGACTGAGGTCTGCAACTGAAGTTGCCACCATTTCAAGATGTATGAACCCAACCATTGTAAAAAAGTGAAACAAAAGGAAATTTGTGAAGCCATCACTTTGGCTATACTAGCATGCACGAAAACCTTTCACTTAAGTGCAATACCCTTTTTACCTTGCATTGAAATTGCAGCCTTAATGTGAGTGCAGGTTTGCTATCAGAAAGACATACCTTAGACTCTAGTATGATTCAAGAAAAAGTGAGGTTATTATATGACAACTTAAAGCAAAAGGAAGGTGAGGGATCTGAATTGGAGAATTTACTGCCTGCAAAGGATGGTTTGATAATTTTAGAAAGAGGTTGGGCTTAAGAAATGTCAAGATAACAGCAGCTTCTGCTGACCAAAGAGCAGGAGATGAGCTCCCAGATGCCATTAAGAAAGTCACTGAGGAGAAAGGATGCCTGCCTGAACAGATTTTTAATGCAGATGAAGATGTCCTATTCTGGAGAAAAAAAATTCTGCAAAAGATATTTGTTAGTAAAAAAAAGAAANCACTGAACCACCAAGGAAGTCCTTAAATCTCTCTTCTCTTTTAATGTAGGCATTTACAGCTGTGAATATCCCTCTGAGCATTGCTTTTGCTACCCCCTATAGGTTTTGGTATGTTTACTTTTCATTTTCATTTCATCTCAAAGTACTTTCTAATTTTCTTTCTTGCTTTTTATTTTGCCCATTTGTTGAGTGTGTTGTTTAATTTCCATATATTTATGAATTTCCATTTTTCTTTTCCTTGATTTTTAGCTTTATTCTATCGTACTGGAGAGAATACTTTGTATTCCTTTAATCCTGTTTAAATATATTTGGATTTGTATTTTGACCTAACATATGTTAATATGTAGTCAATATGTTAGTCATATGTTAATATATAGTCAATATAGATTGAAGGCAGGAGGAGAAAGGGATACAGAGGACCAAAAGGGGACAACAGAGGATGAGATGGTTGGATGGTATCACTGACTCAATGGACATGAGTTTGAGCAAACTCTGGGAGTTGGTGATGGGCAGGGAGGCTTGGTGTGCTACAGTCCATGGGATTGCAAAGAGTCAGACATGACTGACTGAACTGAACTGAATTCAGTCTGTAGATCCGGGATCATAGGACTTTTAAGGCTCGTTACACATGGATAGGATTGTCAGCACTCTAGAAGAGAACCCTGATAGAACATTGTGAAAGTCTGAAAGGACTGATGACACCATTGAAGATGCCATTGTTGTTACAGAAAAATCTATGAAGGCCATCAAGCCTGAGATAATAAATCCCTGCTAGAGAAAACTGTGACCAGATGTGCATGACTTCACAGGACTTAAAATGGAGCCAGTCAAGGACATCATGAAAGAGATTGTGGATATGGCAAAAAGGGTAGCAGGTGATGAGCTTCCAGACCTTGGAGAAATTCAAGACAGCACACCAGAGGAGTTAACAGATGACTGCTTCTGAATCAGGACCAGATGATGAGGAAGATGTAGAAGCAGCAGTGCCAGAAAACAAACTGACATCAGACAATCTGGCAGAAGGTTTCAGATTACTCAAGCCTGGTTTTGACTTTTTACATCATGGACTCTTCTATGATGGGGCACTGAAACCGAAGCAAATGGTGGAAGAAGTGTTAGTATCATGAAGAGAAATGAGGATGCAAAAAAGTCAGGCAAAAACAAAAATGCATTTCTATAAAGCGACACCAAGTGAGCCTGCCTGTCCTGTCTCCCCTTCCACCTCCTCCACCTCCTCTGCCTCTGCCACCCATAAGAAAGTCCAACCCTTTCTCCTCCTCCTCCATAGCCAAGTCAAAGTGAAGCTAATGAGGCTGAAAACCTTGATGATGACCCACTTCTACTCAATGAATAGTAAATAATCATCATGCCATACAGTTCATAAATATATTTGTTGTGCATTATGTGGATATCCTCGTGTGAAAGTCTAATACTTGCATTAGAGTACTGTATGACACTTTATGTCCTCATCATTAGTGCCCAGGTATTAATCATGTAGAACATCATGTGCAAGACTTATATTGAAGTGAATAGACTAGCCTTACATAGGCAAAAGGGGAGTGATAGTTAACACAAGATTAATAATGTGTTAGTTTTCTTACTGTCTTATAACTTTCCTTTCAAAGAATTATATTACATACAGTGCCTCTCTCTCATAATTGGGGAAACTGCGTATCAGCCTATCATCACAGGTAAGGGGTTTTAAAAAACATAACAGTGTCTCCCATTCTGTCTCATGAATGTGACCATAATATTCTATGCCATAAAAACGTTATAATGATTTATCCATTAGCGTAGAGGCTGGGCTACTGTGAGCAATCATGTCCATCACATTAGGCGGCCGTGTTACTGTTCATGAAACATGAGTTTTGTTTTCACATTATCTTTTCATATTTGATGTCTAGTGTTAGTAATACCTGTGACATCTACAGTATTTTGTATCATAGAAGATGAAATTGCTATAGGTAGTGACAGATGATTCATCTTAAAAGCAAATCACAAACTTACAGCATTGCTGTATATATACAGTACAGTACTGTAAATATTTTTTCCTTTTATGATTTGCTTAAAGACATTTTCTTTTCTCTGGCTTACTTTATTATAAAAATATAGTATATAATACATAATAACATATGTGATATGTGTGAGTCAACTGTTTACATTATCAGTAAGGCTTCCAGTTAACAGTAGGCTACAAGTCATTAAATTTTAGGGGAGTCAAAAGCTACATGTGGATTTTTGACTGCACAAGGGGTTGGCGCTCTAAACCCCCATGTTGTTCAAGGTCAGCTGTACTCTTGTTTGATTAGACTCTTCACTCTTGCTGCATCTTTCTTGGTGGCACTGTTGGCAGCCCCATTCAGGGCCCCGAATGGAGGCAGCAGGCATAGAGACCTGTGACTTGTGGTTGGATGGATTTGCTGCATTGCAAAACCTCAGGCTGTGAAGTGGAGATGGAGCATGCACCTTTAAAAACTATCAGGAGGATTAAATAAGATGTTGTCTCTTTGAAGTCTTTATTCCTTGTCTGGCATGTAGGAAGATGTGCATGTAGACGTAACTAGGATTTAATTCCAGATCCTACATACCCCAGGGCACTCGGGCTGACCAGATCCTAGAAAAGAAATGCACTGAATGCTTGCTGGAGGGACTCCAGCTAGCCAATCAGATTTAAGGGCGAAGGTTTGTCAAATAAGTATAAGAATCCCCAATGTTCTTACTTTTGGATTACTTCATTTTATAATCAACTCTGGGAGCTGAGTTTGTTAGCATTTTTATCAAAAGGACCACAGAAAACACATGTCATGATATGAAAAAGTAGGAAATTCTGTATAATGTTGCATTTATTTGAACAGAAGTGTAGGCACTTTTCTGAAGCAGCCATTCTTTATTATCTTACAGACAAATCCAAAGCAGCTGGCAGACTTACTGTGGTGGCCAAGAAAAGGGTAAGATAAGATTTTTATTAAATATACAGATTTCAAATTCAACCTGATTAATACAATTTTAAAAGAAAATTAATATTCTAAATCAAAATGACATAATTAGTTTTTTTTCTTCTGAATGTTAGGTTGACACTAGGAATTTAGTATTTATATTTAATATGAATGGCTAATATTTTAATTTTTATGGTTAATTTAATATTTATGTTACTTATATCAGTGTAATAGAATTATCAGATATTAGAATAATAGAAAATTTTAAGTTAAGAAATAAACAATTGCTTTTATTGTGCATACTCATATTTTAATATTTCTCATACTAAAATATTTTGTCATGTTATTATGTGTGTAATTTTCATAGGAAATTGAAATAATTAAAATTCACAGCTTATTGTGGACTTTACATTAAAGTTAAGTAAATAACAGCATCAGACATTTGTTTGAAGCTTTTTAAAGAAAACTTGTAAAGTTAATAGCATTTTAAAGCCATTTTTAAAATGTAATGTCATTCTGTACGTTGTGTGCAGAGAGATATTTAACTCTTCAGTTCAGTTCAGTCGTTCAGTTGTGTCCAACTCTTTGCGATCCCATGAATCGCAGCACGCCAGGCCTCCCTGTCCATCACCAACTCCTGAAGTTTACTCAAACTCATGCCCATCGAGTCGGTGATGCCATCCAGCCGTCTCATCCTGTCGTCCCCTTCTCCTCCTGCCCTCAATCCCTCCCAGCATCAGGGTCTTTTCCAATGAGTCGACTCTTCTCATGAGGTGGCCAAAGT